TTGCTCAGGGGCAATCGTCTCTGTATCATTCAAATTTTAGTGTTGCCAAAGTAAGCATTCTATTGTTTTTTTTTTATAAACTATTTTATTTAGGACAAATTTGAGACTTGGTGGGTCTACGCGTTTTTCAAAGAACATCCTGCTAATCAGCGGCGGAGGGAGCGCGCGTAACCGGTCTCCAATGGCCCAACGCACTTTTCCACTGCGTCACCGACGAACTCCCTTCGCTACTCACCCCTCCGAGTCAAGCAAAGTTACCTCCACAACTGAACCCCCCATGTCCAAAACTGCTCATCTAAAAAGCCCCATGAACTCCAGAAACGGAAAGGAAGAGGGTGCGGTGTATATCGTCTTTGCCTATAGCATCCGAATCACTTCTTTACTCAATAGGCTTCACTCTTCCACCACCACCGTAATGGTGGGGTTCGAGGATGAACAGGTGATCTGTGGACACTTACGAGGCTTAACAAGCCCATCGAATTGAAAAAAAAAATGGCCTGTGGAACCTGGTGTCCTCTAAGGTCGCCGGAGCTTTACAACTCGGGGTCCCGGGGAACCCGGAAAAAAGCCCTCACCAGGAAGGAAACAAATGGGGACAAGTGGGGAGCACAGAAAGCAGACTAGGGTCATTTTTCTCCGCGACTCCTTGGGGTGAGAACCGAGGACTTAGGTGACCAGAAGGGACACGCGGACTCCCTCTCGCCAGTCCCAGGAGTATCCATCCCAGTCCGCAAACCAAAATTCGTTCCTCTCCCGCCTGAACCCAGGGATGTCTCTGCTGGGCGACAACGCGTCCTGCCGCTGAGGTCGGGCCGAGGGAGGGGGACATGGACTCCCTTCCACCCCGTCCGGGGGCGTCCTGGTGAGGGGGGCAGCGCAGCGCAGCCGCACACACCCGCCTCTGCCCATGCCCGCCCTCCGCGCCAGCACCCGCGTCTCACCTGAGTCCCAGAGAAGACTGGGGTGCTGGGGTAGAAAAGGGCCGTCAGCACTCTGTTGTTTTTATAAGTCTCTCTCTCTCACACACACACACACACACACACACACACACACACACACACACACGCACCTCCTACTTAAGTGTAAAACTTGTATCATCGATTTGTCCCATAAAGCAGAAAACTTGAAATCTGAGCTGTCTGATTCTCTGATCTTACCCGATGACCTTGGGTTAGTCATTTAAACCCTCAGCTTTGGTTTCCTTTTCTTTCAGACAGACAAATCCATTCCTCTCAGATTCTGATGTCACAGGGATGTGGTTAAAAAACAGACAGCATGCCAACATTTTGAGCTCCTGAGAGATGAGCTACATTTAATCCAATCAATGAATATCATTCTCTAGTTCTTTAGAAAGACACTATGGAAAGTCTAGCAGATGATGCTGGCCAATTACATACCTCACACCTACACTGTTCAACCACGCAGTGAGTTCTGGCTGAACGTGACACTCTTGTATAGCAGGTGCTTCATACGTTTCTGTTTGTTAATGAACTTATCTAGAAGACACAGAGTTGGACAATGGGTGTGTCATGTATATAACTATACTCAAATATGTATAAACAGAATTTTCTTAATAAAAGTTGATATACTTTTCAAAAATTCAGTTACTTGGTAGGGAGTAAGAACTATTGTTTATATTTGGAAACAACTGTTTTCCTTAGGAAGTGTAGAATTGTTGATTCTGTAAATATGGAGTATTTCCTAGCTTTGAACACAGGCATCAGGCCAAGTTAAAGTGTCATATATAAACCAAGCTTCCTTAGTACAGCCTTCTTAAAACACAAGGTCAAGGGCAATGTGGTGGTTTAGGAAATGAAAAGACAGTGGGTTTTAAAGACATACACACCTTAGTTTGCATTCTGGCAAACTTCTTAACTGAGTCTGTGGGTTTTTTGTTTGTTTTTGTTTTTGTTTTCTTTTAATCCATAGAATGAGAATAATAATATTACCTCCTGCCTAGGGTCATACTGAAGATTAACTTCTTTTCTTTTCTTCTCTTCTCTTCTCCTCTTCCTTTTCCTTTTCCCTTTCCTTTCCTTTCCTTTCCTTTCCTTTCCTTTCCTTTCCTTTCCTTTCCTTTCCTTTCCTTTCCTTTCCTTACTTTCTCTTTCTTTCTTTTTTTTCTCCATTTCTTCCACTGGGAATTGGAGGGCTGTGGACACCTTATAAAATATTAGAAAATTAGGAAGTAAATTTTAGCCCAAATTTGGTTTACCCCTTTGGAGTAGAAGCTAGACGTTCTTTAAGGTGGCAAAAGGAGCTGTGTTTTATATTGTAACTTTTCCGTCTTTTATGCTGTCAGGGACTCTCTGTTTTCTTCTCTGTTGCCTTCTTCTAATTCTCCATTTTCGTCATGAAGTTACCGCCCAACCAGATTCATTGCCCGTTACTCAAGAGGAAGCCAATACACTGAGACAGCAGGTGTCACAGCAGAGAAAGGGTTTAATATAGAAGGCAACATGAGGAAATGGGAGGAATTTCTCAAATCCATTAACCTGAAAATTTGGGAAAAAGGCTTCTTTTAAGACAGTTTGGTGGGCAAAAGACTAGGCAATTGGGTCTGCTAATTGGCTTGTTTCAGGGGGAACCATAGCAGTGTAGAAATTGTCTTTTTTGCTGAATCAGTTCTTGGGTGGGGGTCGGTTCTTGGGTGGGGGTCATAATACCAGTTGAGTCAGTTCCTCAGTATGGGCCACTAGTCTAGGTGGGTCAGCCGTTCCACCAGATTGCAGGGCCTGGAAGATATCTTAAAAACTAGCCTTAGGTTTCACATGGGTGGTGTTATCTATGGGGAAAGTTAAGAATGTTTATCACCATCAGCTATGTGACTCCTGAGTAGCAGCTGTAGGAAAATAAACGAAGGGACAGTGGCTGATTATTATTTTTAACTATATCTGTGCCTTTGCAGAGTTTTAGGCCCTTACCACAGTTCTTGCCTGCACCCCTTTATTAATTTATAAAGGGCGGTTTCAATGATCCCTAACATTTTGAAACCTCTGAATTAATTCACTTCACTAGGTCCTTCAAATGCCCATACATGAATACCAACGGACATTTCTTTAAAATTATAGGGACTCTAGCACTCTGGGAGGCCAAGGCGGGCGGATTGTTTGAGCTCAGGAGTTCGAGACCAGTCTGAGCAAGAGCGAGACCCTGTCTCTACTAAAAAAAA